TCTTCAATTATGGATTATTGTCCTTGGAAATCAAGGGATTTATTTATAGGATGATGTGGTGTAATCATGGAGACCGCACACTGAGAAATTTCAAGTTCAAATTGCATCCTAGTCACTGCCAGTTTGGTGTAGTGGTTAGGAGCACGGACTCTGATCTGAAAGAACTGGGTTTGACTCCCCACTCTTCCACATGCAGCTGCTGGTGTGACCTTGGGTCAGTCACAAGTTCTCTAAGAGCTTTTCTCTCAGGAGCAGTTCTCGAGAGAGAGCTCTCTCAGCCCCACCTACCTCCCAGGGTGTCTGTTGTGGGGAGGGGAAGGGAAAGGAGATTGTAAGCCACTCTGAGACTCTTTCAGGTAGTGAAGGGCAGAGTATAAATCCAATCTCTCCTCTTCTTCTTCTGCTTTACTGGGTGCCTTAGGCAAGCCATGTGCCTCAACTCCCTAGCTGTGATGGGGGGGTGATAATAGTGAGCTACCTTGCAAGGGTGTTGTAAAAGTTAGGGATAATGGGTTGGATCCGGCTAAGTATTCTGCAGACTGGAAAAAAGAGAAGGTGTCCCTTTGACCACCAAAAAAAGTGACATAGGGATTATGGCACCTCCATGAACCAAAGCCACACAGGACTGGGGTTGTATCAAGGAGGGGAATTTGGTAAGACTGCAGTGGAAAAGCTGGTGGGATCCAACCCGATGCATTCAAAACGCTTTGCACACTCAAAGATGTCAGTATAACAACACAGTCACGACTTATCTTGACATGCCATAGGCCTGTACGTCTACATGAAAACAAGCCAAACACTGTAGCCTGGATCCCCTGAATGTCTCAAACTGTTCTTAATACTTTGCCCTCTGACCTGTGACATGGATTCCAAAGCAAAGCGTGCCCAGTTTCCTTGGCAGGCTCAAGGTCTGCCTACGTGATACAAAAATGTATTCCTGCATTCCTCATATGCCCAACCCTGATTCTGCAAACACACATGCAATGGCAGCACACTTACCATAAAAACATGGTGGCTTAAAGCAGGTAGGGTTGCAATCTTTTACACTGACACAGAAATTAAGCGATGAGTGTTTTCCCATCATGTATCTCCATGCCAGGGAAAGCGTCATTTGTAGAAGTTCTGTGGTTTAACCAGGGCTTTTTTTTTAAGAAAAAGCCTAGCAGGAACTTATTAGCATAATAGGCCATGCCCCTGACAGCAGAGTACATTAGCATATTAGGCCACACCCCCATGCCTTCCCTTGGCTTACCCTTGGTGGGGAGGCAGTTTAAACTGTCTTCCCTTGGCTTGCCCGGGCAAGCTGACCCTTGCACAGGCCGGGGAAGGCATGGGGAGGCATTTAAATGCCTCCGATCCTTCCAGGGGCCCCCTGGCCCACCCGCCTCAGAGTCACTGGACGGGGTGTCTCTCTCCAGGCCTTCCCTCTGTAGCCATGCATGCAGAGGTTTTGGCCAACTCTGAAGTCAGGGAACTCCGTTCCTGTGCGTTCCTGCCCAAAAATAGCCCTGGGTTTAACTACTGTTAAGGCTGAGGTGCAAGACCAGATTTTAAAAAGCGATCGTCCTAGAAACGAGTGCAGCCAGCCAGATACCACACGTCTGCAGACATGGAAGCACCAGTTCCAAAGTGGTAGCCGCACTAGTTGGGTGCAGCAAAAATAACCAGGAGTCTTGTGGCAACTTAAAGACTAATGACACGTGATTCCAGCAGACATTTTGGTGGACTAGAGGCTGCCTCTTTACTATGCTGTTGTAAAATAACGCACTTATTGCATCTGAAGATGTGGACTCTTGTCAGCAAAAGCTTGTGGTGGAATAAAATATCGCTAGCCTTTCAATTGCCATGAGATGCCTGTTTATTTTTAGGAATGAGAAAGGGTCGTAGTGTGCCAGGTTTAAAAAGCCCGGCTATGGAGAGCATAAAAATGTCAGACCCTTGAACAAACTCACTCTCAACAACACTCTCTTCTAGTGATTTGTTTATTGAGATATGAAGATGTGTCAAGCTGAGCTCATCTGTGTCAGAACTAATGGGTTTGGCGCCAGTCCTGGTATTATACTTAATTCAAACAGCCCGCCCCCCCGTGACCCATCCAATCAAGCCATCCACGCAGCCCGCCTAAACCAAGCGCATTCTCCCCCCCCAACCTACAGTTTTATTATCTACGACAGGCCAGCTAGCAGAGACAGGCGTCCAAGGTCATTCGCATTCTTCCCATTCGGGAGGCCTCTTAAGAAAACAGTTACAGAGCAGTTAAGTGAAGCAATTCCCACACACTCACATAGGCTCACCATCTGCCCCCCCCAGTGGCCCCAATACAGAATTGTTAGAGGTAAGGAAGAGAGAAAAACAGAAACACACGGCAAATGAGGACCTGAGTTTGACAAAAAAGAGGTTTTGGGTGGGTAGCCATGCCCTGTATGGTTTGGGACCAACATACCCAAAAGATTAAAGTAAAGGTAAAGGTTCCCTTGCTCGAAAGTCAGTCGAATCTGACTCTAGGGTTGCGGTGCTCATCTCCGTTTCAAAGCTGAAGAGCCAGCGCTGTCCGAAGACATTTCCGTGGTCATGTGGCTGGCATGACTAAACACCGAGGCGCACGGAATGCTGTTACCTTCCCACGGAAGTGGTACCTATTGTTCTACTTGCAATTGCTTGCTTTCGAACTGCTAGGTTGGCAGGAGCTGGAACTAAAGACAGGAGCTCACTCCGTCATGCGGCACCCGGGTCTCGAACTGCTGAACTACCGACCTTCCACAGCCTGCAGTTCAGCGTCTTAACCACTTGAGCCACCGCAGCTCCGACCCAAAAGATTACCTAATCCTTTATGAACCTGCCCAACCACTACGGTCATCTTTGAACGCCCTGCTTTGAGTGCTCTTGCTTTCTGTTTGGTGTACTGGTTAAGTGCGCGGTGAGCCAGTTTGGTGTAGTGGTTAAGTGTGTGGACTCTAATCTGGGAGAACCGGGTTTGATTCCCCACGCCTCCACTTGCACCTGGCTGGATGGCCTTGGGCAAGTCCTAGCTCTGATAAGAGCTGTTCTTGAAAAAGACCAGTTTCTGTCAAGAGCTCTCTCAGCCCCACCTACCTCACAGGGTGTCTGTTGTGGGGAGGGTGTAATGTATATATCCCAGACCGTGTGCGCGGCCATTGCACCACGCAGTCAGGCGAAGCCGTCGAACTTTGCTCGCAGGAACAATGGGACAAGCGGATCCTAGCCCGCACCTATCGGCAGGCTAGGCTTCCAGTCGAGAGCCTATGGAACTCTCGACCACTGTAAATAGCCAATCACTAGTGTGTGGGTGTGTTTTGGTGCGGGGTTGTTGTGCACATAAACCAGCCTGCGAGCTGGGCAATTTGTCTTTGTTCTGAGCTGAAATAAAGCTGAAATCACTAGTAAGTCTCAGTACTTTTCAGAGGGAAAGGAGTTTGTAAGCCGCTCTGAGACAGTGACTGAGGTAGTGAAGGGCGGGGTATAAATCCAACCTCCTCCTCCTCCTCCTCCTCTTCTTCTGAAATTAGGCAGGTGGCAACCCATGAGAAAGCCTTCGTGATTGTGGCACCGAAGATCTGGAACTCTCTCCCCGGGGAGATTAAGCTGTGCTCTTCTGTTTCCCATCTCCTGCCAGTGGGTGAAGAGCTTTTTGTTTTGTTTGGCATTCCTTAAGAACATAACATCAGAAGAGCCCTGTTGGATTGCACCAATAGTCCATCTAGTCCAGCATCTTGTCTCACACAGTGGCCAACCAGTTCCTCTGGATGGCCAACAACAGGACAGAGAGGCCGAGTCCTTCCCCCGATGTTGCCGCCTGCCTCTGGGATTCAGAGGATTAGTGTCTCTGAATGTGGAGGTTCTCCTCAGCCAACATGGCTGGTAGCCATTGATAGACTTCCTCCATGAATCTATCTATAAGTTCTAGATCAGACCAGTGGTCCATCCAGTCTAGCATCCTGTCTCACCCAGTGGCCAACCAGTTCCTCTGGAGGCTGAGGCCTTCCCCCGATGTTGCCTCCTGGCTCCAGTATTCAGAGGCTTAGTGCTTCTGAATGTGGAGGTTCCCCCACAACCACCACGGCTAGTAGTCACTGACAGGCCTATCCACCATAAATCTAATCCCCTTTTCCGGCTGTTTATTCCTGTGGCCATCACTATAGCGATCACTCCTTCCTGACCAATGATTTAACTGTTAGTATTATGCCTTTGTAGATGTTTTAGCTCTGTTTTAATTGTTTTAATAATGTGTGTGGTTTTGATTTTCTTTCTTTTCTGCTGCTACAAACAAACACAGCTACCCATCTTGATCTAAATGTAGAAGTGAGCCGTGACTCATGAAAGCTCATCCCCTGCCACAAATTTTGTTAGTCTTTTAAGGTGCTACTGGACTCTGGCTCTTTTCTGCTGCTATAGACAGTTTGTTGATCTATTTTATTTCATGTTGTTTGGAGGAGACAAGTTTCTGTTTCATTACCTGTCCTTTTTTTTTTTTGGGGGGGGGAAGTTTCTATTTGACTGACCAGAAAAACCACATTCCCCTCAGCAAAAGCACGCCATAAAACATAATATCCTAGGGTTGCCAACTCTGGGTCGGGAGATTCCTGGAGGTTGGCCATGGAACCCACCTTGTCCAGTTGCCATTTCCTCTCTGTAGTCTATAGATCAGTTGTAATTCTGGGAGATCTCCATCCAGGCAACCTGGAAGTTGGCAGCCCTACGACTGCCCCAAACAAAAACTATTTTACGCAGCTTTTTTGGGGGTGTGTCTTGTTATGTCAACAGGGAGGACGCGTACAGGGAGGACGACAAACGTCTCCTTCCGGAGAGAGCCTCCAAGAGATCCTGCCCTGCAACCGGCTCTCCCTCGAGCAGGCTGCAGGCCCAGCCCCGGGGCAGTCGTGTGGGCCGGCCCAGGCAGGCAGGCACTGTGTCTCTGGGTGACGCGCCGCCTCCTCTTCCCTCCCTCCCTCCGCCGGGCCCGTCTCGTTTTGCGCGCACGGGAAGGAGGAGGAGCAGCCGCAGCCAGCCGGGGGAGGAGGCGCCATCGCCCGCTGCCGGTCCTTCTTTCCCTCCCCTGCTCCCCCCGGGAAGAGGCTGGTTCTCTGCTTCACTCGCTCGGCCTTATTTTTTTTTTCACCCCCCCCTTCCCCTTCCCTTCTTTTTTGCTTTTACCCCCCTTTTTAACCTCCTTTTTTCTCTCTCTCCAAACCAGCAAGACGCTTTTTCCTCTGCCCCGGGGGCAGCAGCAGCAGCAGCAGCAACAACAGAAGCAACACTCAGCAACAGCCGGGCCGGGTTGTCTTGCACAACCGGAGGGGCACTTCCTACACACACACCCCCTTCCCACCCACCTCCCTCCGAAAACCACGTCCTCTGTGGGGCGACATGAACGCCGCTGGTCGCGGACGCCTCGGCTCCCTCGCCTAAACATGGAACCGGCAGCGGCGAACTGAACACAAAAGACGCCCAACCCAAGACAGCATCTCTTTCCCCGTCGGCACCGCGACGATGGCGTTCTGATGGACCCGATGCTGGCCAAGTCCACCTGGGAATCTTACAGCTCTGCAGGGGAGGTGAGCGAAGCAATAAAAACCCGACGCGCGCGCGTTCGATCCCCCGTCTCTCTCTCCCCCTTATCGGGGGCTCCTTTGCAACTTGGCGGCTCGTTCCGCAAGCCTGGCGTGTCCATATTGCTTTTGTTTCTGCGGGGGTACGAAGACGCCGTTACCCATTTCTGTCTTCGTCTCTCCACCCCCCGGGGCCGCAGATCAGGGGGGCGAATCTGGTTGTTGACATCAATGGCGTCTGCGGCCGTCCGTTCCTAACCCGGCTCCTTTGCAAAGAAATTTGCAAAGAAATTATGGGCGTTTGGGTATAGCAGGAGGTTTGCCTGCAGACAGCTCGGCTTTTGGCACGAATTTTACACTGGCCCGGTGGACAGACTCGGGCAAAGGGAACCTTCAGCCCGTGCGCATTCAGTAGGCCACAGCCGGACGAGTGAATCCTCTGGGTTAAAAGATGGGGATCGCCGTTTCTTTCCCACACAATCGCAAAACGGGGCCTTTCCCCAAAGGTATTTTTTTTTTGCAAGATTGCAGGGTGGTTGTTGTTTATTTGCAAAGGTATTTTTGCAAGGATGCAGTTTTGCAGAGCCTTTGGCCATTATGCGCGTCGTACGTGCCGAAAGACAGAAGAGGTGGTGCTAAAACCCAGCCCGCGTTTGTTGTTGTTTACATAATGCATGCGGGCGCCTCCGAGATGCGCTGTGGTGTGCAGGAGAGCTGTGTGCGGCGCTGCGATAGGCGTGTTTCTCCTGTGTTTGCATTATGGCGGGCGATGTTTATGTGTACAGTGCAGTATGAGGTTAATAGGGTACCTAACTTGTAAAGCAACAGTGTACAAGTGGAGGCTGTGATCAGGTCCAGTTTAAATCCCGCGAGACCTGCTTTATTATTTACTTATTTAATATATTTATACCCTGCCTTTATCCCGGTAGAGGACTCCAGGCAGCTTACATCAATCTCCTCTTGTCAGCTTTGTCCTCTCAACAACCCTGTGAGGTAGGATAGGGTGAGAGCGTGTGACTGGCCCAAGGTCACCCCAGCAAGCTTCCATGGCATGAGTGGGATTCGAACCCGGGTCTCCCACATATTAGTATGACACTCTTACCACACGGGCATGTTACTGAGTAGACATGCCTTGGATATGGGGCCTGCGTCATCTGCACTTGGATCTTTTCCCCTCCGAAATGATACTCTCGATTAAATGCAGTGGTCTCTGCTCAGTTTAGTTCTCTGTGAACTGAAGATAGCTCAAGTTGTCATGAAAATACTGAAATATTTAGTAGAGAGCTGTTGGCGAAAGGGGCTTGCCCTTTTCCTCGTGTCCCTTTGGGAATCCTGAAAGCTTCCACACAGTTAGGGGTGACGTTGCTCAAATATAGTTAAGTGATTATTTTTAAAAAGCGTTTTCCTGTCAAAAACCTACTGGGAATTGTGTTTCTGGCTTCTGTCTCAGTTTAGCGCTTGTTTACCTCCCCAGCTCCGGGCTGCCGGTGACGTCACTGTGGCTCTCACAAGCGGCGCAGGATATCTGGGGCTGCGTTTGCAGTGCTGTTCGGTCTCTCTTGAACTTCATTGCAGCAGTTGCCCCGAGAGTACAGCAGAGTTGCCATCCTCTAGGCCTGGCCTGGAGAGCCCCCAGAATTGCAAGTGATCTCCAGACGGCAGAGATCAGTTCTTTTGGCCCTTCTTACATGCCCAGGGGAATGAAATGCTGATCATCACTTTGGGGGCAGGAAGCAATTTTTCTCTAGGCCGATTTGGCTGGAGATCCTGGAGGGTTTTTTTTTTTTGGTCATCTTCTGGACATGAAAGAGCGGTCACTGGGGGTACGGGGGGAGGTATTTGTGAATTTTCTGCATTGTGCAGTGGGTTGGACTATAGGACCCTGGGGGGGGGGTCTCTTCCAACTCTATGATTCTATGACTGCTTTGGAGGGTGCACCGTATAGTATTACACCCTGTTGAGGTTTCTCCGTTCCAGACCCTGACTTCCCTAGGCTCAACCCCAAATCTTCAGGAATTTCCCAACTCGGGCTGTCAGCCTCCAAGCGAAATTACATCGGATCTCCAGAGCGTAGAGGTCAGTTCTCCTGGAAAATATGGCTTCTTTGGAGGGTGAACTCTGTGGCATTATATACCCGACTGAGGTTCCTTCCCTCCAAATCTTGCCCCCCCCAGGCTCCGCCCCCAAATCTCCAGGAATTTCCGAGGCCAGAGTTGGCAACCTTAGACTAATGGCAGAGGTGGCGGTGGCTGTAATTACTGATTCCTCCCGCCCCCTATTCATATGTTCCTTCCAAATCTTTCTGCACAGCTTGACTGCATCTCTCTGGGGAGGGGAGAAAGTGCTAAAGGCCTTGTTATTGGTTACTTCATTTCTACGCCTCTTTTCTCCCCAGTGGGGAGGTGGCGCAGTTTCACCTCCTTCTATGGACCACTGTGCAAATATTTAAAAAAAGGGAACTGTTTATTAATTGCAATGTTGCAGCAAACAGTCCAGGATGTGAACTGATGCAGCAGTTCAGGACAGTGGGGTTGCATCAGGTTTTGCAGAGATCCAATGTGGTTAGGCGGGGGTGTGGCGGGGGCTGGTTGGGGAAGTAGCCGTTCAGCACCCACCGGACCAGGCCAAGGGGACTTGAGAGAGATCCCCTTTCACCGGTGTAGCGTTACGGCCACATAATGTCAGCCAGCATTAACTAAGGAAGAAGAAGGGGAAAAAAAAACCCTCCAAAAGCTGAGGTCATCTCAGTGGCCCAAAACAGATCATAAAGACCCCGGTGGATGATTTCTGTATTATGTACACATCACAGCCATCAGGCACGGTGCTTTCCAGAGGAAAGGGAACAGACAGGCCTCTGCTTTGAAGAACTTGCGTTCTGTTATGGGGATGCAAGGCATCAAAGTTCAAGGTGTCGGTGCAGAACGAGTTCTCTGCTGTCGAATGCATATTTTTTATTTTTGTAAAAAGGTGGTAGTAATCGAATTGATCTGTTGCTTCAGACCGACACGGCTACCCGCCTGAATTACTCAGTACTGGTGAGAGTTTTCCCCCTTTTGCCATCAAGTTGCAGCCGATCTATGGGACCCTGCAGGGTTTTCGAGGGAAGAGCCATTCAGAGGCGGTTTGCCGTTGCCTGGCTCTGCTTCATGACCTTGGACTTCCTTGGTGGTCTCCCATTCATAGAATCATAGAGTTGGAAGGGACCTCCAGGGTCTTCTAGTCCAACCCCCTGCACAATGCAGGAAATTCACAAATACCTCCCCCCCCACACACACCCTGCTTTATGCCTAGAACAGGCAAACCCCCCCAGGATCCCTGGCCAGACTGGCCTGGAGAACAATGGCTTCCTGACCACAGAGTGGCGATGGGCATCTCCCTGGGTGTGTAAAACCTACCTGAAGGACCGCCTTTCCCCGTATGTTCCCCCAAGAGCACTACGGTCAGGGGCCCAAAATTTATTAGTCATCCCGGGCCCCAAGGATGTCAAACTAGCCGCTACGAGAACCAGGGCTTTTTCGGTGGCGGCTCCTACCTGGTGGAATGAGCTCCCAGGGGAGATCAGGGCCCTGCGGGACCTTGTGCAGTTCCGCAGGGCCTGCAAGACGGAGCTCTTCCGCCAGGCTTTCGAGTAGGAGCCGCCGCCCCTACTATACTACCACCGCCCTGAGGTCCCGATGAAACACCCAGTATGGAAGAAGCCTCTGCCGTCTTCTTGGAACTTTGGACATTCGATCCGTCATCCTTAGATTATGAACGGCACTGAGCACTTTGTTTAATTAAGATTCTAAGATGTAGTACATGTTTTAAATTGTTATGTATATTATTGTTTTATCATGGCAAGTTGTCTTGCCTCTGTAAGCCGCCCTGAGCCCACTGGGGAGGGTGGGGTATAAATACGAAAAATAAATAATAAAAAAATAAATAAAAAAGAGCCACGAGAACTAAGCACTGAGGCAGCCCTTCCCGCCCTCCCTTCTCATGATCGGCCCAAGTTCACATTCAAATACTAACCAGGGCTGACCCTACTTAGCCTCCAAGATCTGATGCAGTCGGGCTAGCTTGGGCCATTCAGGTCAGAGCAAAAGACATACAAAGGCTGCGGTCACACGGAGCATTTGCCGCGCTGACGATACAGATGGTAGGCGGATTTTCCGGGTGCGATCACACCGCAGCATCTGGGAAGCGTAGAGCTCCCGTGGCTCACCCAAGGCTTCCCGCCAAAGATGCGGAGTAAAAAACTAGTACCTCCGAGGTACTAGTTTCCGGAAGCCGCGGGGCAAGTGCGGGCGTCTGATCGCGTTTCTGGTGGACTTACGTGGCATCCGGCGCCCGCCGCTGTTCGTCGCACACAAGGGTTTTTTTTTTCCTCCCAAGTCTCAGCAGGTTGCGCAACAGCGCCCAACAGCGCATGCGCACAAAGAGCGATTGCTAGTGCGATCGCGCGGCGCGGCTTCTGTGCCGCGCTGCAGGATACCTGTCTGGTCGGCATCTCCCCCCTAACCACGGGACCTCGACCGGGATGTGTGCTTGGGCGGCCGTGCGTTAGTTTCCTCCGGGGCAATTAGCCACGCCTCCCCCCCGTGATATCCGGCCCGTGTGACCGGGGCCGGAGGTGGTTTTGCCATTGCCTGCCTTTGCATCATGACCCTAGACTTCCTTGGTCGTCTCCCATTCAAGCACTAACCAGGGCTGACCCTGCTTAGATTCCGAGATCTGATGAGATGGGGCTAGCCCGGGCTACCCAGGTCACACACACACAGGCAAAAAGATCTTGCCAATCTGCCTTACGCTGAGTCAGACCATGGGTCTCGCAGGCTTAGTCTGACTGGAAGCTGCTCTCTGGGGACTTGAACAGTCTTTCACATCACCTCCTTATTGATACTCTGGCTGGAGGAACCAGGGATTGGACCAGGGACTTCTGCAGGCAAAACAGATGCTCTTATCACTGGCACTTCCCTGAGCCCCGTGCGTGGCGCTCCCCACGGACCCTCTCCCAAACGACAGTT